CAGATTTTGGAAATTCACCCAAGCCTACCTCTGACAGCTATTCAAATCTGGAAATCATTCTATCTCTAACCTCTCAGTGTTGCTTAAATGTCTCAGTTATTAGAATAAGATTAAACTAAAATGCTATAATTCTGAAGTATTAAAACATAGTATAGGGATTTCCCTGGTGACACAGTGGTTAAGACTCTGCACTCCCAATGCAGGAGGCCTGGGTTCAATCCCTGGTCAGGGAACTAGATCCCACACGCATGTCACAACTAAGAGTTTGCATGCCAACTAAGAAGCCCACGAGCCGCAACTAAGGAGGCTGAGAGCCACAAGTAAGGAGCCCACCTGCCACAACTAAGCCCAGCACAACCAAACAAATAAATAAATATTTTTAAAAATAGTATAAGATATAGAGAACAAACTAGTGGTTACCAGTGGGCAGGGGGATGGAGGGGCAATATAAGAGTGAGGGAGTGGAAGGTACAAACTATCGAGTGTTAAGATAGGCTTAAGCATATAGTGTCCAACAAGGGGAATATAGCCAATAATTTGTAGTGACTGTAAATGGAAAGTAACCTTTAAAAACTGTATAAAAATTTAAAAATTTTTAAAAAACAGTATAGAAAGTCTCTGTAGGATTATAAAATATTGCACTCAGGATGAAGGGAATGACGTAGCTGGAGAACAAGAGGGAAAAAGAGACTTGCTTTTTATTGATAACCTTTAATACCTTTTGCATTTTATATACCTATTTATAAAATATTTTAAGACATTACAGTAAATAATATTCCAAGTGCAGATGAAAACTGAAAACAGTAAGGCACTTAAAATTTTAACAAGCCTGTTTTTAAAAAGAATTTTCTAAAAAGTCTTCTATATGAGTATTTGAAGTGGCAGTCTTATTTAATAATAATATGAAGGTTCCATTTTAAATTTGAATTCTATTAAAACTGCCTAAGAACCATCACATCTGAATAGCAATATATAAGATCAAAACCACTCATTTAAAAGCAATAAGCACAACTTGGAATGACAAACAAAAATGGCACAGAACTCTCTTTTATATTTATAGTATATATTTTGTATTGTTATATAATATTCAAATACTATTTTAGTAGATAGTTTCACTTCTGTTTCCTTTCATATATATTTCATATACATATATAGTACACATACCTTTCATACCTATATACATTATATGTATATATTTCTTTCATATGTATGGATAGTACATTTTGTTTTCTTAAGAAACCGAACCACACAAAAAAACTAAAAAGCCACCTCAAACTTAATTTTTTCCTCTACATTCCATAATCTTAAGGAGAAAGAAATAGAGACAGCACATAGCCTAATAATAGAGATCTCAAAACTGCAAGTTCTACCACCCCTCATGAAGTCAATATACAGTTAGTCAAATCTCACAGGATTTTTTGAGAGTTTACCAAAGCTCTTTGTTTCTCTGAGTACCTATGATATGCCCCTGCCCTTATCCACCAAAGCATTTGGTTAGGATCTCTCCTTTACCATTTATAGTCAGCCTTGTAACAGGCTTACTTAAATACTTGCCTGACTCTCCTCCTAAAATGTAAGTTTATATTTCTTGGAACACTGAAATGCATTACTTGGCAGATAGTAATACTGCCAAAAAAAATCTTGCAGAATTTTTGTCAATAACTCTTTGGCACTATACAATCCTGAATTACTTCAATATTTCCTATCTCAAAGGATATTTTCAGGAAACTTTTAAATTTTCTTACTGTATTTTAATTCTTTAAAATAATCTGTATCATATGAAAGTTAAATCTCAGTTAACTAGACTATTCAGGGAATCAAACTCAATTTCAAAGCACTTTGACTAAATGGAGCTTTACTATTTGGGAAAAAATAAATAAAATTCCTCTAAAAAATGAAAAACAAAAACCTTCAATGTACAATAAACATAAAATCTATTCAGTGCAGGTACTCTACATAACACTATAGGAAATGTTTATCATCTATGAACATGTCAAAATTTTTAAATAATTAAAACTCCCATTAATAAAAGAATAGAGAAAGTTTATTAAAAATAAAGTGTATAGAACCACTGAGTCTGGCACTAAAGTAATACTAATCTATAGCAAGAATTTGGAAAGATTTCAGGTAAAAAAATGCTAAAAGAGCACAAAAATGAAGGAGTGGGGAAAGAAAGGATGACAAAGAAACACCTAGACAGTAGACAAGTAAGATGTACATGTGTGTGGAGTTGTGAAAGGGCGTATAGTCTGTCCTCAAAGCTCATCTCCAGCCGCAGCATCCTTTCTACCCAGCAGGCAGGATTTCATTTTTCATTCACTGTCTACCAAAGCCAGGAGACAATGATTTTGCTCAGTTTTAACAACTTCCTATATTTTGGTAAACATGAAATGACCACAAATTAAGAAAGAAAAATTCATCATAATTGTACATTCTTAATTACAATTTAAGTCATTTTTAAAATGCAACCAACATTTCTCTGTTTTAGAACATCTTTTCCTGGGATAAAAAAAAAATTGCAAGAAATCAAAACTCAACTTCTTTCCCAATCTACCTAAGATAAAAACCAAAACCCTATTCTAATCAAAAAAGCAGATGACAAACTTTTCAGTATTTATCTTTAAACATACAGTTGGTAAATATTTATAATCTTCCAACTACCAGATCACTTTAAAGTAAAAGTTTTTTTTGCTAAAAGAAAATGACATTGGATCAATTTATGAGGACAATTCTAGTATTAAAATCAGCATATGATGTTGTTAACTCTAATCTCAGCAAAATAGTCGTCTGCTAAACATTTAGCAAATATCAAATTCTTAGCTTTTTATTAATCAGTTAGGCTCTTTGATTTTCAAACATATTAGCTGCTGGACCTAAAACTACCAGCTAAATGAATAGCTTAATAACTAGGCAGGCATTATTTACTGTCAAATTATCACAAAGCTAAAAGCAAATTTGTCTTAATCAGTACTTTTGAAAATTAATTAAAAACAAGAAAATTCTACTGTTAAGCCTATAATGAGTAAATTATTTTCCAAGTACCAGGCTTCCTTGTCTGTGTCTCTCTTCTTCGTATTTCCCAGGCAACTAGCACCTCTGGTGAGCACCTAGTCTAGTAAGGAGACCATTCTCTATTTAGTTGCATGTATGTCTATTAGGTAACTTTTACTCACTACAGATTATTTCTAAATGCAGTTGATCAAAAAAATTTTATTATATTAAATACCCACTTGAAATTTTTTAAAAAGAAACCAGAAAATGTTCTCATATAAATATGTAAGCTAAAAAATATATTAATGTAGTTCAAAAAGAAAACATGACCTTATGGAAACCACTCAAAAAAACTTTCCTTTTAATACCTGTAATTAAAAAAATACACACACACACACACACACACACACACACTCTAGTTAATTTTCAGTGTTTTATTCTTATGAAAACAAAAACCAGCCAAATTAGAAATGGTTGCACTAAACTGAAATAAAATAATCTAAATTATCAATGTCAGCATCAAAAAATTAGATATTTCCCCAAATTTGCAGTCAGAGATCAAAAAACTCATGTTTTAGTATGGGGCATTAAGTACTGTTAAATAAAGTTTAGGGCAGGGGTTCTAACAGTGCTATAACTTAGTATAATGACAATGATCTGTATTTCACTAAAATAGACATACAATTGGTTATTTAAATAAATACACAATAATTTTTCTCAGTGATGAAGATTAAAAGAAATGAACAACCAACTGGGAAGCAAGAAAAAGGCAAAAAAATTTTAAAAAGAAGGAAGAGGATAATTAAGTATCTGAATTTTCAAATCTGGCAGGGGAAAAAACGAGAGAGAGAGACACTGGTACTAGAACCTCCTATAACATCACCAGTATCAAGTCAAATGAAATCTAGCACTGGCAGAACATGGCAGATAACACACATTACCAGGAAGATTAAGTAAGTAGAAAGGCCAAGGAAGATTTTCTGAGCTTTGAAATGAGACTCCTTGTGAATACTGGATCAGATACAGAAGTAAAATGCTTTTCATTTCAGTAAAACCATAACTGGTGATGCTGTAGGGATTAAGATAAGCATGAAATATGTGTGCAAGAAGACGGTGTGTCTGTGTGTTTGTGTATGTATGTGCACACACACGTGTGAATGTGTGGGCATAGTGATGATGCCAACAGAAGTGGCTAATCACATGAACAAGTTCATGATTAACAAACAGTAATATAAATTATGGGTCTGTTATTCATCCATCCTAAGTTCTCCTAAAATCTCCTATTTCTAAAATTATTAGGCTGTTTATATTTGACATCATGGCCTAACCTACACGCACATCACTAAGAAAGCAATCTGCTTTCACAAAGGTATGTACAAAATTTTCCAAAATCATTTTCAGTGCCTGTTATACTTTCTCTTGTCACAATAATTGTTTATTTAAATGAACTCTAGGGAATTTCCTGGCAGTCCAGTGGTTAGGACTCAGTGCTTTCACTGCCGGGGCCCAGGTTTGACCCTTGGTCAGGAAACTAAGATCCCACAAGCTGCACGGCGCAGCCACAAAAAAATATCAAAATAAACGAACTCTATTTATAAGTAATGAGAAGTATTTTGCTTCAAACTACCAAAGTATACGTTTACTATCTTTTTGCTCAGATGAAGCTGAAAATAATGAGATTAGAGAATGACTTTGGGGATACTTAAAGTACTTTAGAACAAAAAATTGAAACTTCAGTAAACATATTCTAAATTACTACTACATTTCGGGGACAAGCTATTTAGGAGCTAATAACAGGAAAAAAAACTATGTGCATCTTCTACGTCTATGTGCCCGATGGTAATAATTGTAACTTTGCCTAAACATCACATTACCACTGTTTAGTTTTTAAATTAAAAGGATTTTTTAATTGTCACATTTTAAGTTACTCTGGATTTCATTTATATTAAGCCTGATAGCAACACAACTTGACTCTACCACAGTGAAATAATCTTTCGTGATCAACTTACACTGCAGTTTTCAGGTGGAACCAGAAGCTGAGTAATCTCGCCACCATGGACACAGAAGATGTGTTTCATTTCTCCAGAAAAAATGTCCCAAATTATGACCGAAAAATCCACGCCTCCAGATATCAGATACCTTTGATCATAACGAGCTGAGACCTGATGCGGATACAACAAACACGTGACTTTGTTCCGATGACCACGGAGTGTCCTGTGAGGTGGCCAACCTGTGAACGAGGTTTTGGATTTAGCTATACATTTTATCATCGAAAAGGCTTCTAGTTTCCTAGAACTGCTCTGTAGTTCTAGAAACACAGTAGCTACATACCACATGAGACTACTGAACTCTTGCAGTGTGGCTAGAGTGGATTCATATGTGCTATGAATGTAAAATATACATGAGATTTCAAAGACTTAGCACCGAAAAAATGTAAAATATCTCATTAGTAATTTTTATATTGATTACAAGTTGAAATGAACATAGTTTTGCTGTACTAGGTTAAAGAAAATATATTATTAAAATTAATTTCTCCTGCTTCATTTTTACTTTTCTTAATGTACCTATTAGAAAATCACCTATATTGTTACATATATAGTTCTACTGGACAGCATTGTTCTAAAAGATTACCAGTATTACTGATAATATGATAATTACTAGTACACTATATAGGTACCCAATAATAAATGGAATTATTAGCACATATCAAAGAGATAAAATTAGATACCTCTTTATTTACAATCATTACATGGTGTTTATTCCAATAATAGACACTAAGTACAGTTGATCCTTGAACAACAGAGGTTTGAACTGCACAGGTCCACTTACACGCAGATTTTTTTCAATAAGTATTTACTACAGTACTACACAGGGGCAGCTGATTGAATCCAAGGATACAGAGGGCCAACTGTAAAGTAACATGCAGATTTTCAACTGTGCAGAGGGTCAGTGCCCCTAACCCCCTGAGTTGTTCAAGGGTCAACTGGAGTGTATTTTATTAAGTGCACATTAAATTCTCCCAACTACATTGCACACGAACAACTACACGGATTCATTGTATTTGTTAAAAACAAAGAGTGTAGACATTGTCAGGTTCATGGTTACAGAGTTCTCAAAACACTTTAGACACTAGGAGATCTTCAGGATACCTCTGCGGAGCATGTGCTCCCCTTGCAGCAGTTGCACTATGGCTGTCTGCGTGGCAGGTACAATAACGATGCTTCCATCTTCACGGCCACAAACGAGTCGCCCGTGGGCTGGTATGTACACACTTGCGGTCACCTTCAGAGGTTCATTACTATTGGGAATGACACTCAGCTGATCTATAATTCCGGCAGGACAAGGATTCAGTTTATCAAATGCCTCTTGCAAACTAACAGAAGTTGTCATTTCCAGCTCTGTGGAGGTTTTGTTTGGTACAAAAGAAAAACATTTAAGTATTTTAGAAAAAACATTAAACATATAAAAATAAATGTGCTTACAGATGATTCAGTAATATACCAAAGAATAACTGTCATCAACTATAATTCTAAGAAGAAAATGACATATGTACCTTATGAATTTGCTACACAGTGGCTGGTATTTAGGTTGTTAAATTTAAAAAATTGAGAAATTACTGCAAGTGATTTACTAGTACTTCCTGTACCTTCCTGTTTATCAGGTGTGTCTGATATGTTCCAAATATTCAATCTTCCAGAAGAATCACCCTGAATCAATAGTTTGTGGAAGTATTCCTTACATCCATAGAAGAACCGAGTAACAGGAGGACAAATTAGCAACTGTAAAAAAAAAAATTTGTTCAAATACCCTTAGCTATCTTTTTAAACAAAATATTCCACACATTAACATTTTTTCAGATTAGGGTGTTAAGTACTTTGCCTCGGTACCAGAGTAAAAAAAAAAAAGTGCATTTATAGAATGAGTATTCAATAATATTTTAATTAATTTTGTAGCACTGAAACATATCAACTAATACCCAAATCCAGTACATAGAACACAAATGAAAACTAAATTTATAGTCTTTCTCTAGAATTAATATTCTTTTTCTCTGCTTTGTAAAAACCACAATGCAATTATTTGTCTGCTATTAAGCAATTAATACAAAGATATACCCCTCGTTACCAAAAAGAAAATTCTCCACTTAAAAGGTCAAAAGGGGAGAACAGGCTAATCTGAGCTTTCTGCCCATCCCTGATTAGTCTCCAAGAGTAGATGCAAAACTAAACTACCAAGCTTGTACAACTAGAGGACTTAAGAGAATATTTTTCAACTAATGGCATGATACTTGATGACATTTACATAATCCACTTGAACCTAGCCTGATTTGCTATAAACTACTAGGAACAAAAACCATTCATTAGGGTGCTGTGTATACTTTCATTTTTAAAACAAATTATTTTTCTGCTTAAGATCCTGTGTCTTCAGTGAGACCACTTATTTGAAAATACTAAATAGTGGTGGACTCCTAAATTTAAAGTTTAGATTATTAATATACTAAAACTGGAGCATTAAAGCATAGAAGCTCATCCTAAAAAGCAGTAAAAAATAGACTTCAGTGTTTAAACATATAGTTAACAAATAATCCGTATTCGGTATCAGTTGTTTCCTAAAAAGCATTATCCTATAGAAATTATATGCATTAAGCATAGTTAGTTACTTGATTTAACTTAAAGCCTGAAAATTACTAAAAGTTTTAATTGATAAACAACATGCTTAACTAGGAAAAGTTGCTACAACAGCTGTAATAGCCAGTATTTCATATTTCACTGTGTATCTAACACCACACAGTACATATATTTTAATTTAAAATGTATTGGGGAGCTGATACATAAAGAAACATGGTATGTATTTGTTTTGTTTCGTGGTTTTTTGTGGGGTTTTTTTGGCCGTGCCAAGCAGCTTGCAAGATCTTAGTTCCCTGACCAGGGATTGAACCCAGGCCCCAGCAATGAAAGTGCTGAGTCCAAACCACTGGACCACCAGGGAAATCCCATCATGTATGTTTTTTATATAAGTCATTATCTCTTGATTTAAATAGAAGTGACTATCTTGTTTGGAGAGCAGTAAGTAGGAGTTTAAGTTAAGAGACTAAAGGACAGGTCATAGAGGATCTTAATTGTACATGGATATATAAATTCTATATATTCAAAATCATGTAAAAATTAATTCCCTTCCCCTCGCCATCTCTCCACATAAAGATGGAACAAAATGTTCAGAATGAAAAAGCTGTGGAAACCTAGAACTTGAGTAAAGGAAACTTTATTTCCAAAACCAAAGCTTCTTTCTTAATGCTCAAAGAATAGAGTTGAAAACCCAGTACTAAGGGCATTTCAACTTTAAACTGATATTAAGTAGGTTCTTAGAAGTCATAATAAATTTGATTTTTATAGGGAAAAAAATGTCTTTTTTCTTTATTTTTAATGCCTAATGATTTAAATCACTACATGGTTTTGGGGAGATACTGCAATACCTTGTTCAAATAATAGTCAGCATTATTACATAATTATCTTTGTGCTTCTAAAATTACATCTCTCACTATGTTTATAACTGCATGAGTATAAAATCAATTTATGCCATCAATATGAATTTTATCAAAAAGTCATTGCCACTTTGTAATCAGTATAAGACCATTTTTATTCCTGGAGAAAAGTGACTGCTACATTATAGGCATATTATAAGCAAATCTGAAAACTGTGCTTATAATAACTGACCATGTCAAAATGTTTTAGAGTATCTAACACACAGCCTTGAATTGTACTGAATCTTTCAAATGCTTAGCTACCAAAGACACCAATAAATATAGTTGTAAAAATTTTTCAACATAACTACCAATTATAAATGATACCTGAAGAATTTTACCTCTTTATCTGTTCGATCCAAGAGGCTATGTTGTACCGGAGGAACTAAATTTTCAACTGCTTTCCCCACATCACTGCGGAATGAATCACTAGCTGGAAGGCAACTGAAAATGAGAAAACTACAACATTCAGTAAAAATACTGACATTAAATATTTTATCATACCATATGATGACTTTTTTTGACAATGGACAAAATATGGATATTTTAATTATAGTTAATTTAATATCGGCATGAAAAAATTAAATAATTAATGTTACTAACATACTCTACTTCAAATAAAAACTCCACCTAATTTTTGTGCTTAGAAATTAAACCTCAATTACAAATCAACTTAAGTTCTCAAGTTTTTTACCTAAATTAAATATTTATACTTTCTACATTTTCATACTTTCAGGTTATACCCCAAATTCGGAAACTTTTGCTTTCAATTAAAGTCCTAACATTATTTATTGAATACCTGGCAGGTAGTTTGTAAATAAAACTTTGCCCATTTTCAGCCCAAATGATGACTTTATCTGCCGAGACAAAGTCACCTCCAGTCCACGTCTGTCCATTTTCACTCGGACCTGAGCACAACAGGGAGTAGTCCCCAGCATCAAATACCTACGAGGAATAAGAGATTCGCAATCGTTTTAAAAACCATAAAACAAAATAAGACAATTTAACCATATAAAAACTGAAAACCTCTTTTTGGCAGTAACTGAGAAAGTCATGTTGGTGGGTTGCAATACCATCTACATGTTGTTTTCGTATGCGTTTCCCTGACGATTAATGAAACTGAACACCTTTCTACACATTTACTGGTCACCTGGCTTTCCTCTCTTGTGAAATGTTTTTGTTCGTTTTCCTATTGGGTTGTCGGTGTTTTTCTTCTTGACCTGTAGAAGTTGTTTTTTATCAATAATAGACGAGTCCCTCATCATAGTGTACACCATAGCTATCTTCTCTCACTCTTTGGTTGTCTTTTTTTTTTTTTAATACATCTTTACTGGAGTATAATTGCTTCACAATACCATGTTAGTTTCTGTTGCACAACAAAGCAAATCAGCCATATACATACACAGGTCCCCATATCCCCTCTCTCTTAAGCCTCCCTCCCTGTGCTATGCTGCTGCTTCCCACCAGCCAACTATTTTACATTCGGTAGTGTATATACGTCGATGCTACTCTCACTTCACCCCAGCTTCACCCTCCCACCCCATGTCATCAAGTCCATTCTCTATGTCTACCTCTTTATTCCTGCCCTGCAACTAGGTTCATCAGTACCACGTTTTTTTTTTTTTTTAGATTCCATATATATGCATTAGCATATAGTATTTGTTTCTCTCTTTCTGACTTACTTCACTCTGTATGACAGACTCTAGGTCCATCCACCTCACTACAAATAACTCAATTTCGTTTCTTTTTATGGCTGAGTAATATTCCATTGTATATATATGCCACATCTTCTTTATCCATTCATCTGATGATGGACACTTAAGTTGCTTCCATGTCCTGGCTATTGTAAATAGAGCTGCAATGAACATTGTGGTACATGACTCTTTTTGAATTATGGTTCTCTCAGGGTATATGCCCAGCAGTGGGATTGCTGGGTCATATGGTAGTTCTATTTTTAGTTTTATTAAGGAACCTCCATACTATTTTCCACAGTGGTTGTATCAATTTATATTCCCACCAACAGTGTAGGAGGGTTCCGTTTTCAACACACCCTTTCCAGCATTTATTGTTTCTAGCTTTTTTGATAATGGCCATTCTGATCAGTGTGAGGTGATACCTCATTGTAGTTTTGATTTGCATTTTTCTAATAATTAGTGATGTTGAGCATCTTTTCATGTGCCTCTTGGCCATCTGTATGCCTTCCTTGTGAAATGTCTATTCAGGTCTTCTGCCCATTTTTTAACTGGATTGTTTGTTTTTTTGATATTGAGCTCCATGAGCTGTTTGTATATTTTGGAGATTAATCCTTTGTCTGTTGTTTCATTTGCAAATATTTTCTCCCATTCTAAGGGTTGTCTCTTTGTCTTGTTAATGGTTTCTTTTGCTGTGCAAAAGCTTTTAAGTTTAATTAAGTCCCAATTTTTAATATTTGTTTTTATTTCCGTTACTCTAGCAGGTGGGTCAAAAAAGATTTTGCTGTGGTTTATGTCAAAGAGTGTTTTTCCTATGTTTTCCTCTAAGAGTTTTATAGTATCTGGTCTTACATTTAAGTCTTTAATCCATTTGGAGTTTATTTTTGTGTATGGTGTTAGGTAGTGTTCTAATTTCATTCTTTTACATGTAGTTGTCCAGTTTTCCTAGCACCACTTACTGAAGCACTGTCTTTTCTCCATTGTATGTTCTTGCCTCCTTTGTCGTAAATTAGGTGCCCATATGTGCGTGGGTTTATCTCTGGGCATTCTATCCTGTACCATTGATCTAGTCTTTTCACTCTTGTGTGTGCACTCAAGAGAAGGCTGATCTCACATGATTATAAAATGCTGACAATGGGCACACAGGAAACTGGTATTAGCTACTGCCTCTGGGGAGGGGAAGGGAAGTGCCCTGGGGGAAAAGGGTGTATATTTTTCACTGTATCCTCTTGCACTTTGTTTTATTTCTATTTGGATGTGTTTTAAGTTTTAAGACAAAGGAAGGATCGCATATGGCCTACTACAACTAAGCAGCTGCTAGCTTTTCTTCTCTAATCTTATCCCAAACAAGAGTCATACTGTGGACATACATAAGTATGCCACATACAGAGTAGACATACATAAGGCTGTCCACGCTGAGACAGGATAGCGCAGTAGTAATGAGAGCAGCTGCTGCAGTCAGGCTGCCTGAGTTGTATAACCTTAGTCACTTGTACAACCACCACCACTTGTATAACCTCAGCCAAGTTATTTATCCCCCCTACGCCTCAGTTGCCTCATCTGTGAAATGGGCAAAGCCACAATCCCTGCCGTGGCAGGCGGCCTCTAAAATGGCCCCACCCATCCCTGACTCCTGGTAGTATTAGGATCCTCACGTAATCCTCTCCCTTGAGTACAGGCGGCATTTTGCTACGGTTTCCAGAGAACTGAATGTGGCAGAGGTAATGGGATCTCAGCTCTAAGATTAGGTGGGTCTTGGCTACACCTTCTCTTGCTCACTTTTTTTTTTTTTTTTTTTTTTTTTTTGCCACATTGTGCAGCATGTGTGGCATCTTAGTTCCCCGGCCACGGATTGAACCTGTGCCCCCTGAACGGGGAGCATGAAGTCTTAACCACAGGACCACCAAGGAAGTCCCTCTGACTCACTTATTCTGAGGAAGGGCAGCTCCTGTGTTGTGAGCTGTCCTAATGGAGAGGCCCACACGGCAAAGAACTAAGGTCTCCAGCCAACAGTTGGTAGGACCTGAGGCCTGTCAACCACCAGGTAGGTTTGGAAGCAGACCCTCTCCTAGGTGAGCCGTGGGATGAGGTAGTCATCCCAGTCAAAACCTTCATCACAGTCTGCGAGAGACCCTGGGCCAGCCAAGCCATGCCCAGATTCCTGACCCACAGAAACCCAAATTCCTGACCAAAAACAGATGATTCAAATTTGTTGTTTTAAGTGACTAACTTTTGAAATAATTTGTTACGCAGGATTAGATAACTAATATACCACCCCTTGGAGAGTTATTTCCAAATAATACATGGAAAGCTTTGAAAAGTATGCTAGGCACAGAGCAGAGCAAGTGATCAAAACTTGATGGCTCTTTTTCTATTATGGAAATATTAAAGTCTGGCAACGTGAAAGTAATATATACCTTCCATCATTAGCTCTTTAATGACAGAAGACCTTGCCAACTCCAAAATGTCAGAAAAGAATGGCAACTGGGATAATAACAACCTACAAAGATACAGCCAACTTGCAGAAAACTCACCACCATTGCCCATGCTGTACTGACAAGACGATGAAAAATATGGTAGCAAAAGGCAGAAATTAAGATCAACAGAACTAACAACCATTAACTGAATCATTCTATGAACCAAAACAAAAAAGATAACTATATACAGCCAAATTCCATACCTCAAAATATGATATCAAAATCAGACCAAATGTTTCAAATATTCTAACACCAAGCTCCGCCTTACAATCTTCTTCGGGAGTCTGATAAACCAATATCACGAAGGGCAAAAATACAATTTCTTACTTATGTAGTTTATCTTACCCTCCAATACTTGGAGCACACAACCAGAAGCGACCTCTGTGTGAATGCACAAAAAGAGATGCTTTGGCAATTCTGACAATAAATTGGTTTGGACTCCTCTTCAAATATTGGCTCAGTATCCTGAAAAGAGAAAGATCTGTAAAACTTTAGGACTGGCTGGGTCGTCAGTTAAAATTATCACACAATGATAAAGAAAACAAAATGAAATAAAGGCATCTCTTGATATGTTCATCAATTTAGCCCCTCACATGAGAACCAAGGTAGTAAAAAGCAGCAAAGATATACTCTAAAATCCTCTGGGTACAACATCTTTGCTACAAAGCTACTTAAGATTAAAATACTAATGTGAGTCAGAGTGTCATCACTGGCAATGACAGATGATAAAAATTTGAATCAATCCTAATTTTTATAGTTACATGTGCTTGTAGGTTATAAAAACCTCATCAATTCCTGCACTTTCTCCCAGATTCAATGTCTAAAACTTCCCTAACTGAAGATATTACTATCTATATTGCCAGAAAATTGATCTGCCTTTCTTATTGCTAAAAAGTAACAAGGAATTCAAGTCCAAAGAACTCAGAGGACTAAAACCTGCTTTATATCTTCTTTGTGGTGGTTTGCTTTTTTCTTTTTCCCCCTCAAGCAAACTACCTTTTAACTTCAAATTTAAACAGAAGCAGTTGAGGAAAATCCTCTTCTGTGTTTCTCTACTTCAGATCCTGCACAGCATGTTTCTCTGCTTTGCATCCTTGATAAGGCAGATATCTACCCTCAAAAGGGAAAAAAAATAATTCACGTACAGAGAGAGCATACTAGGGGACTCTTCTATACTATGTCAATAAGACTATTGAAAAGAATAGCTTTTTCCTTCCTCTTTAAGTAAAAAAGAGAAGGGGCCTAAAATGTAAGACTCCATAAGAACAGAAACAGAGAACTGACTTCCAGCCTCATTTGTCTCACCTGCAGGCCACTTATTTCCGAGGTAACAATCCACACCTTCAAGATGCCCGTCACTGAGAGCGCCACCACAGTGTCCTCTACACCAAGAAGGAAAAAGAAGCCAGTTACAAGCACAACATGCTTTCTTTTTAAACAATAATATGGTTACAACAGTGACATGGACCATGGTTTGCTTTTTTTGTTTTGTTTTCTTCCATCACCCTCCCTATCCCACTCCACCCCTCTAGATGGTCACAAAGCACCGAGCTGATCTCCCTGTGCTATGCAACTGCTTCCCCCTAGTTTTCTCAGGGTATGTGCCCAGTAGTGGGATTGCTGGGTCGTATGGTAGTTCTATTTGTAGTTTTTTAAGGAGCCTCCATACTGTTCTCCATAGTGGCTGTATCAATTTACATTCCCACCAACAGTACAAGAGGGTTCCCTTTTCTCCACCCTCTCCAGCATTTATTGTTTGCAGATTTTTTGATGATGGCCATTCTGAGCGGTGTGAGATGATAACTCATTGTAGTTTTGATTTGCATTTCTCTAATGATTAGTGATGTTGAGCATTCTTTCATGTGTTTGTTGGCAATCTGTGTATCTTCTTTGGAGAAATGCCTATTTAGGTCTTCTGCCCATTTTTGGATTGGGTTGTTTGTTTTTTTGATATTGAGCTGCATGAGTTGCTTGTATGTTTTAGAGATTAATCCTTTGTCCGTTGCTTCATTTGCAAATATTTTCTCCCATTCTGAGGGTTGTCTTTTCGTCTTGTTTATGGTTTCCTTAGCTGTGCAAAAGCTTTTAAGTTTCATTAGGTCCCATTTGTTTATTTTTGTTTTTATTTCCATTGCTCTAGAAGGTGGGTCAAAAAGGATCTTGCTGTGATTTATGTCATAGAGTGTTCTGCCTATGTTTTCCTCTAAGAGTTTGATGGTGTCTGGCCTTACATTTAGGTCTTTAATCCATTTGGAGTTTATTTTTGTGTAGGGTGTTAGGCAGTGTTCTAATTTCATTCTTTTACATGCAGCTTTCGAGTTTTCCCTGAACCACTTATTGAAGAGGCTGTCTTTTCTCCACTGTATATTCTTGCCTCCTTAATCAAAGGTAAGGTGACCATGTGTGCATGGGTTTATCTCTGGGCTTTCTATCCTGTTCCATTGATCTATACATCTATTTCTGTGCCAGTACCATACTGTCTTGATTACTGTATCTTTGTAGTATAGACTGAAGTCAGGGAGCCTGATTCCTCCAGCTCCGTTTTTCTCTCTCAAGATTGCTTTGGCTAATCGAGGTCTTTTGTGTTTCCATACAAATTGAGAAATTTTTTCTTGTAGTTCTGTGAAAAATGCCAGTGGTAGTTTGATAGGGACTGCATTGAATCTGTAGATTGCTTTGAGTAGTAGAGCCATTTTCACAATGTTGATTCTTCCCATCCAAGAACATGGTATATCTCTCCATCTATTTGTATCATCTTTAATTTCTTGCATCAGTGTCTTATAATTTTCTGCATACAGGTCTTTTGCCTCCTTAGGTAGGTTTATTCATAGATATTTTATTCTTTTTGTTGCAATGGTAAATGGGAGTGTTTTCTTAATTTCACTTTCAGATTTTTCATCATTAGTGTATAGGTATGCCAGAGAATGCTGTGCATTAATTTTGTATCCTGCTACTTTACCAAATTCATTGATTAGCTCTAGTAGTTTTCTGGTAGCATCTTTAGGATTCTCTATGTATAGTATCATGTCATCTGCAAACAGTGGCAGCTTTACTTATTCTTTTCCAATTTGGATTCCTTTTATTTCTTTTTCTTCTCTGAGAGCTGTGGCTAAAACTTCCAAAACTATGTTGAATAATAGTGGTGAGAGTGGGCAACCTTGTCTTGTTCCTGATCTTAGTGGAAATGCTTTCAGTTTTTCACCATTGAGGATGATGTTGGCTGTGGGTTTGTCATATATGGCCTTTATTGTTGAGGAAAGTTCCCTCTATGCCTACTTTCTGCAGGGTTTTTATCATAAATGGGTGTTGAATTTTGTCGAAAGCTGTCTCTGCATCTATTGAGATGATCATATGGTTTTTCTCCTTCAATTTGTTAAAACGGTGTATCACATTGACTGATTTGCATATATTGAAGAAGCCTTGCATTCCTGGGATAAACCCCACTTAATCATAGTGTATGATCCTTTTAATGTGCTGTTGGAGTTTGTTTGCTAGTATTTTGTTGAGGATTTTTGCATCTATGTTCATCAGTGATATTGGCCAGTAGTTTTCTTTCTTTGTGACATCTTTGTCTGGTTTTGGTATCAGAGTGATGGTGGCCTCGTAGAATGAGTTTGGGAGTGTTCCTCCCCCTGCTATATTTTGGAAGAGTTTGAGAAGGATAGGTGTTAGCTCTTCTCTAAATGTTTGATAGAATTCGCCTGTGAAGCCATCTGGTCCTGGGCTTTTGTTTGTTGGAAGATTTTTAATCACACTTTCAATTTCAGTGCTTGTGATTGGTCTATTCATATTTTCTATTTCTTCCTGATTCAGTCTCGGAAGGTTTTGCATTTCGAAGAATTTGTCCATTTGTTCCAAGTTGTCCATTTTATTGGCACATAGTTGCTTATAGTGATCTCTCATGATCCTTTGTATTTCTGCAGTGTCAGTTGTTACTTCTCCTTTTTCATTTCTAATTCTATTGATTTGAGTCTTCTCCATTTTTTTCTTGATAAGTCTGGCTAATGGTTTACGAATTTTGTTTATCTTCTCAAAGAACCAGCTTTTAGTTTTATTGATCTTTACTATCATTTCCTTCATTTCTTTTTCATTTATCTCTGATCTCATCTTTATGATTTCTTTCCTTCTGCTAACTTTGGGTTTTTTTTTTTTTTTCTTTCCCTAATTTCTTTTAGTTGAAGTTTAGATTGTTTATTTGAGATATTTCTTGTTTCTTAAGGTAGGATTGTATTGCTATAAACTTCCCTCTTAGAACTGCTTTTGCTGCATCCCATAGGTTTTGGGTTGTTGTGTATCATTGTCATTTGTTTCTAGGTATTTTTTGATTTCCTCTTTGATTTCTTCAGTGATCTCTTGCTCATTAAGTAGTGTGTTGTTTAGCCTCCATGTGTTTGTATTTCTTACAGAGTTTTTCCTGTAATTGATATCTAGTCTCATAGTGTTGTGGTCAGGAAAGATGCTTGATACGATTTCAATTTTCTTAAATTTACCAAGGCTTGATCTGTGACCCAAGATATAATCTATCCTGGAGAGTGTTCCACGATCGCTTGAGAAGAATGTGTATTTTGTTGTTTTTGGATGGAATGTCCTATAAATATTAATTAAGTCCATCTTGTTTAATGTATCATTTAAACCTTGTGGTTCCTTATTTATTTTCATTTTGGATGATCTGTCCATTGGTGAAAGTGGGGTGTTAAAGTCCCCTACTATGATTGTGCTACTGTTGATTTCCCCGTTTATGGCTCTTAGTGTTTGCCTTATGTATTGAGGTGCTCCTATGGTGGGTGCATAAATATTTACAATTTTTATATCTTCTTCTTGGATGGATCCCTTGATCATTATGTAGTGTCCTTCTTTGTCTCTTGTAATAGTCTTTGTTTTAAAGTCTATTTTGTCTGATACAGGAATTGCTACTCTAGCTTTCTTCTGATTTCCATTTGCATGGAGTATCTTTTTCCATCCCCTCACTTTCAGTCTGTATGTGTCCCTAGGTTTGAAGTGGATCTCTTGTAGACAGCATATATACGGGTCTTGTTTTTGTATCCATTCAGCCAATCTGTGTCTTTTGGAGGGAGCATTTAATCCATTTACATTTAAGGTAATTATCGATATGTATGTTCCTATTACCATTTTCTTAATTGTTTTGGGTTTATTATTGTAGGTCTTTTCCTTCTCTTGTGTTTCCTGCCTAGAGAAGTTCCTTTAGCATTTGTTGTAAAGCTGGTTTTGTGGGGCTGAATTCTCTTAGCTTTTGCTTGTCTGTAAAGGTTTTAATTTCTCTGTCAAATCTGAATGAGATCCTTGCTGGGTAGAGTAATCCTGGTTGTAGTTTCTTCTCCTTCATCACTTTAAATATGTCCTGCCACTCCCTTCTGGCTTGCAGAGTTTCTGCTGAAAGATCAGCTGTTAACCTTATGGGGATTCCCTTGTGTGGTTTGCTTTAATGAAAGTAAATAATAGCATGTTTTACAATTAGCGTGAAGACCTAATTCTATATTTTATGAAATAACGGAGAACTGATTTCAAAACAGGTTAATGGAGATGATCAAAAATTTGGAGTTCAAGGAAAAGTTTTTTTTAGCTGCTTCATTTATTTCTAACTTACAAGTTTTAATAATTTCAAGTGTTCTTGATTACTATGCTAAAAAATTACTTTTTAAAAAACTTCTAAGAATTTAAAAAACTAAAAATCAAACACACAACTTTTATTCTTCAAAGTTCACTTTTATTTATTCATCATGGGGGAGCACAGTCACTTTCTTCAGGGCACACATTTCCCCTTTCCCCACCTCCCTTGCCCGCCATTTTATTGCACACCACACCCTCCACAGGCCATCATCAAGAGAAAGACATGACATAAAACCCAAATTCATCAGCTTCGGGTGAGGGAGCAGTCACAGCACGACAGTAATATTCGTGAACTCCGAGAGGAGGGGCATTAGATAGCAGTCTAATGCAGGCTCCAGAGTGAGGGAGTATGCGTTAAAATCACATTTTCTTCACTAATTAACCAATGAACTGTGCATAACTTAACTAACCTATCCTAAATTCAATTTGCTTATCTGTAAGCAAATGTAAATGAATAAAGTAACGACAGTACCTACGTTAATGGTCTGTTATGAGAATTAAGACACACCACAGGTATAGCCCTCAACACATCAATAAAAATAAGTTGTTACTGTTATTTAAAAAACAGCGTTTGCTACATTTCAGTATAAACTTTATTTGTACTGCCTGGCTCCATAGGCGAGGTAAAGCACTGAAATGCACTGATTACAATTCCACAATCTCTGTACAAAGAAGCTAGAACAACTACTCACAAGTCTGTCAATTACTGTAAAAGTGCAACATACCAATATACCTAAAATTCTCAAATATCTACACACTAGAATAGGGTAAAGCAGATTAAAAATTGTGTATGTTAGCAACATTATAAACTGACAACACTTAGAAATGCATGCACAGCACAAAATTTTCCATTAAAGTTACATTCTATCCTATTCAGACCAGTGTGTACATGTATATTTCACATGTGGATATTTCCCACACACACCTAGGTAATGCTTTTTGTACCTATGTACAAACTTATTTTTAGAGACTTCATCTAATCTGGGCAGCCTTCCTACCTGCCCTCAAAGCCCCTTCACTGCCTTCACTAATTCTAGCCTCTGTGCTATTTCTCTATCTCATCACATTTCACACCCTGAACTGCCATTTGTTTATATATCATCCTCCCTTACTAGAATTTGAGGCCCTTCAGTAGTTCAATCCTTCGTACCTAGAAGGCAGTAGGCACTCAATAAACATCTGCTGAACGGCTGTTGCATAAAAAGCTATGTGCCGATTTCCAACCATAAGAGATAATAAAGGAAATCTCCCACGAAACTGAAGGCAGTTCACCAATGGAGGTGGTGTAACACAGTGGTAAAGTAACTGCTCTGGGGTCCATCTGGGCACCAGTAAGCCACAGACTTGCTCTGTGATCTTAAGTAAAGACTCCACCGTGCTACACTTCACCCAGCTCCGCATCCACACATCCTAAGACAACTGTACCTACCCCACTGGGTGCTGTGAGAGCTGTTACCACATGTAAACGCTCAGCATGCGCCCGATACTGTGAACACTCAGTAAATGAAGTCTCACGGCGGTGGCAGTGGTGCTAATTACAGGTCAGCCTTTACAGAAGAGCACACAACTATGAGGCATTTGGGAGGAAAAAAAATGCTCCAAAAGAGACATATAGGAATATACATGTTCAGTATTAATTACTGTTCTTGTCCTGAACAATTTTACTTTCGTTCTCACAATTGTTACTGAAAGGTTTCAACGGAAATGAAGAAAACATACTTGTATTTGTTTGAGCATCAACTACACACCAAGCACTTACCAGGACCTTTCATTAAATTTAATTGTGTGTAATCCCCTCCATTTTCATCATCTCCACAAAAAATGGAAACACTTCCTATGCCTCTTCAGCAAGTGACAAAACCGGGCCCAAGAAATACACAGATAAACTACAGTTCCTCCCACCATACCTCCAAGGGGTTAAGACATTCTTCTTCCACTTCAGAAAATCACTGACACACTCTAAGACAGCCATAAACTAGTGATCTATTCCATGGAATGGAGATAATGTAACACTTTAAATCTTAATTCAATCAAAGACTCCTTTATGAAAGTAGAGACAGACCATAAATCATGAGAGAAGTTATTTCTTAAACCTAAGAATATAATATAACAAAGTATATTAACATGTGACACATCATACAACTCTACAGTAAACTAACCATTAAGTCATAGTGTAGAAATTCCTAAAGGGCACACTGACCTTGTGTTCGATGGGATCGAATAATACTCATGGAGCTAATCCAATCTGGAGAGATCTTTGATACTAAGGAGTACAACACCTCAAGGCTGGTGGCATCCACCACGAGGATTTCGGGATAATGGCCATGGCACAGAAGCCTTCCTTCTCTCTGATTTCCAACAGAGAACTGGTAGAACTAAAAGGAAGAAGATTTCTAAATGTTCTTTACTTGAGATACTTGATTCACATGGATTCACCAAGCTTATTATGATGCTCAATTTCTCCAGTAATATTTCCAGACATGTACTATATGGTATATATTACATGCGTCTACATATACACATGTCTACACATGTGCAGACATCAAGTTACATTAATATTTCAAAATATCTAACAAAATTATTTTCTTCCTAGTATCTTATCTTCCTTTTTGAACTATTTTGGAGCAGAATTCATGATAATTCTTTTTTGTCCTCCTGTAGCATCTAAAACAGAGTTGTTGAATGAATTAATAAAACACCTGAATAAAATCAGCTTCACAAATCAAAGCAAAAGTGTAGCTCATGTGGGTCACAAAAATAATATGAGTTCGAGATGAATGAGAATCAGTGCGTATAGGTTTATAATTACTAGTCATGACCAAATAAAATTTAGAAGCAAGTAAATTCTGAGTAATCTAAGTGTGTTATTTTAGATTAGAGTGTGAAACAACCGTTATAAACCATTCTCATAGTGCACATTTATACTTTGTGGAAGAAAAATAGAGGAAGAACCAGTACAATGGTGTTACTCATGCCAAGAATAACTCAAAAGGATAAGATGAGTTTCCATCAAGCAAAGAGCAGAGAAAGAATGACTCTAAGACCAACAGCTTATCAAAGGTTCTGAATTCCCTTAGCCTCAAAAAAAAAAAAAAAAAAAAGTGACTCTCTTAGTGGAATGATTCTCCTAGAGGATTTTTAGAAGGCAGACTACAACTTTTCAAGGGATTGGACCTTACATAAATCACATGAGGGCAAGTTAGACACCGCACAAGGGGCAATGCTGTAACCACTCCACAACTGGGGAGATAAGTAAGAAACCCAGGTCCAGTCTGCTCCCACACTCATCCACCCACTGCTCAGAGCTCAACGTTGCATGTGAAGAAAACGATCTTTTCTCAACTATGAAGTCCCCTGCACAAGGAGCACAACTTCTTAAACATGAGCACTGAGCACGGAGCACATTAACTAAGTGCAAGGTAGCACCACTAAACCCCAGAGAGGGGTCTAATAAAATGTAGACTATCACAGGGGGGACCTCTAGATCTCAGGTTGATCCATAACACACCATCTGGGCTCCCAGGGACTGCCAGGCTCTCGCATGCATATAATAATGTGACCATAGGTAGCCTTGACGCACAGAAGGGGAGGATGTGTGAAGGAGAAAGGGATGGGTGCACGTAAGCAAACTTCGTCAGCGCTCACTCAGCACCAGCCAGGAAAGCCATGTGCACTGCAGTCACTAGAGAAGAGCTCTGTCCTGAGGGCAGGGGTATTTTATTAGATATGCCTGACTAAATGCCTCTCACTTTTGCTTGAAAGTTATATTCTCAAACCATCTTCCGAACACTGATTTAGCTTCCAAGACACTTTGATATGGGCAAGAAAGGTGTCCCTAATGGAGAAACAGGTTTTCCAAATATTAAAAAGGGATGCCCCCATGTGATAATTTAATAAGTTGGCACTTCCTTATGATTTCAGTAAGTGCCAATGCCATCAAGGTTCATCATTTCTACATATATAAGAACAACCTGGGGACTTCCCTGGTGGCACAGTGGTTAAGAATCTGACTGCCAATGCAAGGGACACAGGTTCAAGCCCTGGTCCAGGAATATCCCACAGGCCACGGAGCAACTAAGCCCGTGCGCCACAACTACTGAGCCTGTGCTCCAGAGCCCACGAGCCACAGCTACTGAGCCCACGTGCCACTACTGAGCCCACGCGCCTAGAGCCTGTGCTCTGCAACAAGAGAAGCCACTGCCATGAGAAGCCCGCGCACTGGAACGAAGAGTAGCCCCCGCTCGCCGCAACTAGAGAAAACCCGCGTGCGGCAATGAAGACCCAACGCAGCCAAAAAGAAAGAAATAAACAAATTTTTTTTTAAAAACCTGCTTCTGAACCTGAGAGGGTGAGGATCACCCAGGAAACACCTGTCACACACATTAGTAAATGCCAGAAAGCATCTTCTACTTAGAGATGGCTGCCAATCTAAATACAGAAGGCCTAATACAGGATCTGATAAACAGCAGGCACTGAAAATATATTGAATAAAGATAATTTTTCCTAAAACATAAACCAAAAGTTTTTAAATCATAAAATTATACAACAGTTAAAATATTTATATCCAATGAGTTTGATACTTATATATAATTTTCCAATTAAATTATTTATAAAGTCAATGAATCTAAATGATTTTATCATCCCTTTTCTCTTTATAAATCTTGATGATTCTTCATATGATAAAAAATAAATACTACAGGCCCTTTAAATAAAAAGTATATGCCGTAACAGCATTGAAGAAGCAATTTTTAAAAGGACTTTGCCAGGGTAATAAGTAGTCACTAAAGATTTATATCACACAAACCATCTGTGAAAATTTTCCTTTGCTTGTCTAACTTGTGTTAGCACAGAGGGTCTTCTTTCTCAACAAATGATTTTTCTTGTTTTAAGGGAGGCAGTATGATATAACAGAAAGAACACAGTCCCTAGAGTCAGATAAAGCTGATTTGGGATCCTAGTGCCAGGAATGACTCACTGTGAGACTGGAGCAAGTCATTTAATCACTCCGGCTATCAGCTTCCTTATACATAAAAGGATATACTCCTACCTAATTTGTAAGGATGTGGGGAGGCCTAAATGAGAAACCATACAGGAAACACCTATATAATATTTGCTATAAATGTGAGTTCTCTTCTCTTCCCTCTTCTTCCCCATTGAGAACATAAATCACATTTTTCTATATACATTGTAATTTCCCAACACTCAACACAGTAAATGATGAGTAATTTGAAGCACAAAGAATTTGACAGTTATGAAAGAATAAGGAAGAATACCAGGAATGTAAGTGAGAAGCTATAAATTCCTGTGCAAATTGCTGTGTCAGCCAGGCATATGAAACGGTCCTTTCTTTTACAGAGTTGTGAAGTCAAAACACGAACTCAAGAACCAACTGCACAAGCAAGGAAAAGGGTATCATCCCCAAAATGGACTGTGTCAATCATGAGTGGAATCACCAAGGCTTTAGCAAGAGAGAATTCCATTATTTAGGATCTAGAACACTTACCCAACCAGTAAAAGGGCTCTCACCTGGGTAACCAGGATAGAGAGAGCAGAAGCAGCAGTGACAATGGCTTACCTTACATCTTTCAACATTAGTCTCCTCGTCTTTGTTTTCCTCCCCCACTACACTGTCTTATGAAAAATACTTTTACTACTCTAATTCTAGTCTTCCTGTCCTATTACCCATCCCCACCCACTTCTCATATAAAAATACAGACTCAATGTTTAAAAAACATTTTTTCAATTGTACACCTATAATAAATTGTGCTGACTTGGCCAGTTACAGAAATTGATACTAACCTGTATGCCAGTATGTGTGCAAGCTAATTTTGTAAATTCAATACATCTGCCGTCGTTCACGTCCCAGAGGCACATCTCTCTATAAAATAAGATAACAGCTGACTTTAAATCTGAGTTTTGGAAGCACTGTTCAACTTTGTCACAGTGGTTTAAAATTAATCTTCCATTAAAACTGACATATTTCTGAAAAAGTATTGATGGTATATAGTCATTATTGCTGTTCATCAAAAATTCTGGTCCTCCCACCCACCGTCCTAAACTCCCCTCCAACCTAACCACCCCCACCTTGATCCACATTCTTTCTGGGCACCTGGAAGGACTGCACCTCCTGGCTCCCTTTTAGTTGGTGGAGTCTTCTGAGTAGTTCTGACCAGAACTGATATGAGACCCTCCAGAACTCTCCTCTGCCTCTATACCAGATAGCGGCGGCTCCTTCACCCTCAGCCTCAAAGTAAGGAGAATTATGAAGCAGAGCACAGCCCTAAGTGATATATGAAGGGCAAGTGGCAAAAACTAGAAATAAACTTTTAATTTAAACCACTGCAATTTTCCATCGGTTATCAACCTACTAGAAAACTTAGCACTGCAAAAAGCAAAACTTAAGGTCAACTGAATTCCAAATCTTTGCAAATTAAATATAATATTCCAGTTTTAATTCCATATTTATTGCAGAAGTTTTATTGCATGCATACCAAAAGAAAAAAGCTTTATCTCACACTAAAGATACAACATTTGAAATTAGAAATGTCAATATGCCTTGTATTTTAAAGAAATAAATTTAAGATTTATTTAACAGAAGACAACATTAATAAAATGTAATGATCCTGATATTAGGGTATTCTTTAAGATGTCTTTTCCTATATCTCATATGGTATAAATTTTTCAAAGGAAATTCACCCAATCTATTTAGAATATTCACTCTAATATGAATTATCCTTTAATTGGCCAAAAGGTACTATATTTTCACCTGCTGCTGCCTTTCAGTTACACAAGGTTCTTTTTAAATTCATAAATTATGAGGAGTAGAAGGGACAAGTTCTTAAATAATTCTCTTCCAGTTCCCCAACTCCCTTCAATAACATATTGTGTAAATATACAATTTTCTAAACACTCTAAAAGTTTTTTCTTTTAATTCCCCACACTCTAGACCCTACAAATACTGTTCAATGACTTACCTCTCTAAAAGCAAGCTCTATTCTGAGCCTTAGGAATACATGTAGCCATATTAGTGCATTAATGTACATCAATATAACTGTTTAAACTTTTGCGTGGCTTCGTCTTCCAAATTTATGCTAGCCTAGCATCACTGAGGTTTTTTAAAACTCTCAGAGTTGTCGGCCAATTCAGCAAAAATGCCTTGGGGATTAATGATCATTCTTTAAATTTTATGGTATTCTGAGTTTCTCAAAAGCAAGGCAAAACCATAATCATAAATTACAATAAAATACAAAGTATTATAAAAATCATTAATAAAGATAAAATTCATTTTGAAAACCATATTTCAAATATCTTTATGTTGAAACAACTGAGGCATTTATTTAAAAGGCACCCCCAAAGAAAAAAAAAAATTCCTACTTACTAATACAGTGGTACTATTTGCAACACAGACTTACGAGGAGAAAAGTGAATAAGAAAATACTTACCCACTCTCGGATGCGCTCACAATATACTGTTTGTCACTAGAAGCACAAGCTTTAGATAAACAGGTGATTGAAGCTGTGTGACCAAATAACAGTGCTCGAGGATTAACCTAGAAATACACAAATATGTTGATATTAGTACCAAATTTTTTAAGTAATCATTTTTAGGAATCCTGTTAAATATTCAGTACAATATACAGATACAGATTTGAGAAGAACTGCTCAGAACATCAAAAACTAAGAGCTGCAAAACACTGACGCCCACCAATTTAATGCGCACAATCAGCCCACCACGTAGTTCTAAAGTCAAAAGTGGAAAACCAAGAGGTGGCATTACTTGCCCAATATCATGCAAAGAACGATGGAACCAGGATTTAAAGCAGGGCAGTGTTTGGCACTAAGCTCCAATACACTGAGAAATCAGGTTAAGAATGTGTATTAGTATACAAAATAATTTAACCTCACCTATTTTTAAAATAATACTTTGCATGATTTGAAAGTACATTTAGAGTCTCTAGACTATGGACATCCCCAAACACACAAAAAAAAGAACAGGTACCCTACCAAAAGCTGATATCAATGTTGACTATCAGGAACCAGACTGACCTTCACAGCCTAATGATTTAGTGCCACAGTGCCTTATGAAAGGACGGCTTAATACCCACTATTCTAAAATAGTCTAGCAATCAGCCCCCAAATTCATCTACTCTGTACCAAACTGCATGCTATCATTTCAGGTTACTTCAAGGCCTTAAGTAATTTCAGGATATCTTTCTTAAACATTTAATACATACAAATAATATTTGTAACACATGTACAAGACATAAAAAAAAATACATAACCACATACTCAATACCCAGTTTAAAAAAACGGAATATGATTAATACCTTTAAAGCCCCTTTCATGATATCCATTTTGCAAAGAATCAAAATCACTTTAGCCTTATTTTGCATAATTATAATTAAAAGAAAAATACAATCATTGTTTATGGTTAGAACAGGCCTAGAATGTTTTCTCATACATCCAAAATTTTCTCATACATCCAACCCCATTTCTATACAGAGACTCTGTGTTCCTCCACTGGAAAAAAAAAAAAATGCTCTTGGCCAATTCTTTAATTTCTCCCAAGAAAATCAAATTTACCAATTGTTAGTTTTATTTTCAATGTACATGGCTTTGCTAGAAAATCCCATTTTCAGTCATACTGGAGTAACTAGAACTGACTGTACTCCCACCAAAATCTAGAAAAATGAATAAAAATAATTGAAGTATAAAAATCACATTATCATCTCAATAGAGACAATAAAAGCATTTGACAAAACTCAATATCCTTTCATGATTAAAAACTCTCAACAAATTGGGTATAGAAGGAATGTACCCCAACATAATAAAGGCCATATACAACAAGCCCACAGATAACATCATATTCAACAGTAAAAAGCTAACAGCCTTTTCTCGAAGATCAAGAACAAGACAAAGATAGCTACTCTTGACATTTCTAATCAACATAATACTGGAAGTCTTAGCCAGAGCAATTGGGCAAAAAACTAAACAAACAAAGCATCCAAATTGAAAAGGAAGTAAAATTGTCTCTGTTGTAGGTGACATGATCTTATATGTAGAAAATCCTAAAGACTCCAACCAAAAGACTGTTAGAACTAATGAACAAATTCAGAAAAGTTGCATGATACAAAATAAACATACAAAAATCAGTTGTTTCTATAACAACAAGATATCTGACAGAGAAATTAAGAAAGCAATCCCACTTACAATAGCATCAAAAAGAATAAATTACTTAGAAATAAATTTAACCAAGGAGGTGAAACACCTGTATTCTGAAAATTATCAGACACTAATGAAAGAAGTGGAAGAAGAAATAAATAACGTGGGAAAGATATCCCACGTTCTTGGGTTGGAAGAATTAATGTTATTAAAAGGTCCATACTGCCCAAAGCAATCTACAGAGTGAATGCAATTCTATCAAAATTCCAATGGTGTTTTTCAGAAATAGAAAAATAGAAAAAACCATGATAAAATTTGTGTGGAACCATAAAAGACACCAAATAGCCAAAGCAATTTTGAGAAAGAACAAAGTTGGAGGCTTCACACAGTAAGTATTAATATAACTGGAGGAAAAATAAAAATATGGCGTATTGTTATATTTATACCTTTTATCTATATCTCACCATATCCCATAAAAATTTATGTCATAGTTATTAACTAATAAACATTTCACACATAATCAGTACAAAGATAATCTGTTCAACATATTCAAAAAACCATCCATCATCAAAGACCACAGTTCAAAAGTGACAGTTATCAGTGGCAAGGTGTGATGTTTAGAATAAAATGATGTGATGTGTCAGTTCTTAAGAGTAAACACTAACATCAATGTTCCAATCTGGAACTTTGAGGCTACTAGTTCTATAGTCAGCCAACAATCAGCACTCCTTTTGTTTCCCCCTTTAGCAATTTTTTCTTTCTACTACCTGAGATGCTACAATTACATTCATTAACTAAATCCTTACTATGTACAAGCACTGTGATAACGGCTTAATACACATTCCTTCATAGAATCCTTACCACAACCTTGTGTAGTTGATCCTATTTGAAAAATGGCAAGACTTAGGCATCAAATGGTTAAAAACTGCCAAAAGTCACACAGCTAGACACTACAGTAGCCAAGATTGAAGCCAACTTCACCCACCTGCAACATCTGAGCTCTTACCACAATGTTTCACTTCGTTCATTAATGCCATGTATTATACTATTCTTTGCAATTACAGCTTTATAGGTAGTCGAAGCATTAAAACACTATACTGTAGACAATACCAGCATTAACAGGTTCCCTCCTTTACTCTTATCACCATCTGTCTAGGTACTCACTAAACTACTGCTTCTGCAATATCTCTCAGATATTTTATTGCCACCATGTTAGGCCAGGCTGCCCTTTTTCACAGGTAAAAGGAGACCAAGATATGCATGGCAAAAGTTCTAGCTACAGTTCTGAATCCTTTCCTAACAAAAGAAGGGAAGACACCATGACCTCAAGAGAAGGTATTTTGTGCCCTCCCCACTCTGTATGTTATATGACTTATTGGTCCTTCATAGGCATAAATGACTGCTATAAAGTGCATTAAGAAGGCCCTCTACATGAATCAAAAGACAATAACCAAGCCACTTTTTATTCAGCCTTCTTTTCCCCTGGGTAAACAGTCCAATTCTCTTAATATCTTTCAAAGGATGTATTTCTCTCCTAGTCAGTCTCCTCTCCCCCTTTAATCCCTCTTACTTGAATTTAAATAAATATAACATTCTAGTGAAATCCATGCAAAAAATTCAGTAAAAGAATGGTTTCTAAGATCTTACAAGTAAATCTTATTGCTTGTAATAACTCCAATAAAATGTGGTGGGATTTTGTTCTCCTCATCACTACACTGCTGATTCCTATTTAGTTTGCTATCAATCCTGAAGGCATATCACGTTCTACAACACTCATTTCCAGTCACTTTCCAAACTGTAACCCTAGCCTTGACATGTCATCCAAGTGTGTGGATCATTTTTTCAGTTCTAGCAATTCCATGCCTAGGTGAATACCTAAGAGCAACGAAAACATATGTCCACACAAAAACTCACACACAAATGTTCAAAGCAGCATTATTCACTATGGTCAAAAGTAAAAACAACCCAAATGCCCATCAACTGATCAACAGACAAATAAAATGCAGTATACCTATACAATGGAATATCATTTGGCCATTAAAAGAAATGAAATATTGATACATGCTACAACATGGATGAACCGTGAAAATATTATCTAAGTGAAAAAAGCCAATCACAGAAGATCACATACTAAATGATTCTATTTACATAAAGTGTCCAGAATAGGCAGATCTATAGAGACAGGAAATAGATTTGTGGTTGCCCAGGGGACATGGGGGTATATTGGGCGTAACTGCTACAAAGTACAAGGTTTGCTTCCAAGGTGATGAAAATGTTCTAAAATTGACTGTGGTAATGCCTGCACAACTCTGTGAACAGAGTAAAGAAACATTAAATTGTACACTTTAAAGAGTATATTGTATGGCGTGTAAATTTTATCTCAATAAGGCTGTTAAAAAAAATGTTTAGTTAAAAAAATCAACTTTCTTGCCTCTACATTCCATGCCAGCTACCGCCCCATTTTCTCTGTTCCCCCTTACAGAAAAATTCCTGGGGAGAGTTGTCAGAGATTGGAGGTTAAAATATGGAAAAAGACAGTCTCTCCACAGAGAGCCAGCGCCCAGAAGCAGAGCACGCTGAGCATTCCACACCAGTAAAGGATGGCAAAAAACACATAGCGACTTTTAAAATAAATATGACAAAATTTACAAACAGTTTTACAAAAAGTTTTGCTCTCTTCAAGACATTGACCTTAGAAGGTATAAATGCTCAAAATTGTTTTTTAATATCTTTTTTGGAAACCTCCTTCAATATGGTTAGAAATTTTCTGAAAAATGCTAAATGTAACATATTAAGCCAGGTAGGATAGATATTATAATTGAAAATCAAGCCAAAAGCCAGCAGAAGTCAACTCTGATGAATCATGTAAATAATCATTCTGAATACCAATTTTAGTCAAAATACATCTCACAGAAGATATATTATGAGGTCAAATTATTCTGGAACTGTGTTATTTTTTGTTAAGTATTTTATTATATGTGAAAAGTACAATAGGCACTTCAAACACTCACTTCCAAGTCTACTGAAAGATCCCAGAGACATATTTGCCCATCATGGCATCCAGTCACGATCGTGGCCCCATCATCTGTTAAAAGTACTGCTGAGATGCAGTGGGTTGGTGCTTTGCGACCCCAAAGAACGATGGGTAGAACAAGGCTGTTTCCTGCCATTGTGCTTTCAAACCTGGAAATGTTATAAGAATAATGTCAAATGTTATATTTCCTTCTGAAACATATTACACATTTTTCTTATGAAGCCAACTTGAACTTCCTAAGTGCCAAGAATTCCTCTAAACATTATATATATAAATAAAACAGACACATACATAAAAGTATATAAAATCTAATTAAAATCTCAATTAATCCTCACAACAAATCACACGGTAAGTACTATTAGCACTCTTCTTTCACATGTAAAGACAGTGAGTCATAAAGAGTTGCAAAGTGAAAATGGAAGAAATGGAGCCCTAGTCAAGACCCAGGCAGCCTGACTTAGAACCCGGGGTCTTACTCACTCTGCTATGCTACCAAGGCAAGTGAGGTCTCCAAATCTTGTTAAGTCTCCAAACCAATAATAGTTAGCAATGTCCAAGAAAAACTGAGAGTTTCTGACAGTGTCCTAAACATTAAAAAGAATACTGCCCACTGAGAAACTCATTCACTGTATTTAGTACAAACCTATTATGTCTCAAAGTCACGAATGTCTTCTATTCTAAACTCTGAAACCTGAGGGATAAAGAACTTTAAACTCATTTCTGAATAATAAAAATTTAGTTCTGGTAAAGGTGTTTAAATTTGAGATGAATAATCAATTAAGCAGTGTATATTAGAGTACCCTGTTTGTAGCACAAATATAATGAATTATTCCTTCATATGACAAAATTAAGATCTAGTTAGTGAAACAACTAGATTTAGGTGTTACAAACTGTGTGATTAAAGACTTAAATACTAGTTCAGAGAAGTTCAAGAGACATGAAAACTGGCATAATCAGAGAGGGCTCCATATAAGACAGAGACTCTGCCAGACCTTATGAGACACTAGGAGTCACTCATAGGCTTGGTTTCTACGTGGCAACAAAAGATATATGTATAATGTAGACTCTTTAGAACGCTAAGATTGTCCTAAGAAATTTTCAGAGACACTTAAAGGAATAACCACTTTCTATGAAAGAAACTAGTTTTTTTTACCCATGGTCCTACTGCTGGTTGCTTTTAGCAAAAGTCTTTTCTTTAATCCACTACTTACACTCTTTAAACAAATAAATAAAACTAAAACTAAAATCCCTTTCCCTGGAAAGAAAATTAGGCAGGTAAAAAATTATGAATGATGTTTACCAAAAGCAGTCTATGTATATTACATCTTTTATTTTTTGTTAGAATTCATGGCTTTCATCAATTTGCCTCCCCCAAAACTTCATCTGTTTGCTACAGGTAAAAGTTGTTTGCTATAACTTGGGAAAAATTCCAAGTTCCCTTCCTATTTATAAAACCATTTACGTATCATGTTCAGCAGTTCATAGACTACTATGACATTAACAATTCTTTCCATATTCCTATTTAATATCAGAAAATGAAACAAAGCACTGAGCCAACTTTAACAAATTTGGTACAGCATGTTCCTGGCTGAATAACATATCCAACAATGACTTTCTCAAAAAGAGAATCTGGAAGAAGTTCATTCTTCCATGGTGACAGCATTCATTTTTAAGTTATATCACCAAAGATTTCTCTCAATTAAATAAGCTCACAGCATCTAACACAATATGGTGAGATCTGGAAAGAATATTTCTCTCGATATTTGAGCACTCGTATTCGATGCATATGCCTAGCTTGAAGAGAATGCAAATACACAGATTCAGCACTAAGGAATATGTGTGTGACAGGGAGATGTGTCTGTTCTGATGCAACAGGAAAGAAATTTCTGGTATTCAAGTGACAAGGAGCTCAAGGAAACCTGGAAGAAGAATACATTTCATAGCTCTTAAAACAAGTGAAAATAATCGCCCATAACATGATAAAGGTATTGGAAAACACATCCATCTCTAACTCAGCTTCTCCAGAAACTAAAACAAATCTTCACATTCTAACGAAAATCAGGAACTGACAGTCAATCAGAATCTGAGAAGAATTCTCATTAAGGGCAATTAAGAATCTTCATAAGGGAATACATTGTATTAGTTTCCTAAAAACTGCCCTGACCACAAACTGAGTGGCTTAAAAAACAGAATTTGTTGTCTCATAGCTCTTGAGCTAGAAGTCTGAAAGTAGGTGGTGTCACAGTTAGTTCCTTTTGAGGGTTGTGAAGGGAAAGGTCTGATCCACGCCTCTCTCCTTGGCTGGTAGAAGGCCAACTTCATGCTCACATGGTGTTCCCCTATGTACACGTCTCTCCCTTTTTTTATAAGGACACAGCCATGTTGGGTTAGGGCCCACCCCGATGACCTCATTTAACTCGATTACCTTTATAAAGACTTCCAAATAAGGGCACATTCTCAGGTACTAGAGGTTAAGACTTCAACATACGAATTTTAGGGGAACACAATTCAACTAATAGCAGGGACATGTCCTTTTAAAAGAACATAACCTAGGGCTTCCCTGGTGGCGCAGTGGTTGAGAGTCCGCCTGCCGATGCAGGGGACACGGGTTCAGGGGACACGGGTTCGTGCCCCAGTCTGGGAGGATCCCACGTGCCGCGGAGCGGCTGGGCCCGTGAGCCATGGCCGCTGAGCCTGCGCGTCCGGAGCCTGTGCTCCGCAACGGGTGAGGCCACAGCAGTGAGAGGCCCGCGTACCGCAAAAAAATAAATAAAATAAAAGAACATAGCCTAAAATTAATTATCCAAAAAGCAATTCTCCCTTAGGAAATAATGTTACAGAACTTCACTATATCTTTTCCAGGGGATCATACTACATCAGCTTATCTGCTATTACAACTGCTTATCTGAGGAATTAGGTAAGAAGTTCTGTCCAACCAAGGTGGGGGGGAGGGGGGATCAAATTCAAAATTCACTGCTCTATATCCAAGGACATTAGGGATTCATTGGGATAAAAAAAAAAATCACATTTTTCTGGAAAAGGCCCAAATCAAAAGTGACTGAATAAATGATTAGTGCCATATAGTATTAACTGTAATAGAAACTCTGAAGAAAATTCTTACTAACTCTCCAAAATATTGTGTACAATATACTCATATTTTGTAACTAATACATTAAGGGGAAATACCACCTTTCAAATTTTAGAGTTATAAATAAATATGCTGTACGACTAGATACTCCTAAAAACAGAAGAATACTAAGAACATTCAATTTTCATCTATGTTTGTATCAAATCTGACTTAAAATTATATTTAGACATTGGCTATTAAATAAAACTCTTTTACTGAAAAAGCTTTAGAGTCAAATAACAGAAGTTCTAGATTCTACCCCTCATTTTGCCACCAACCATGCAGGCTTTGAGCATATCATCTCATTTCTGATATTGGTTTTCTCATCAAGAGGTAGTTATAAAATTAATTTTGAATCATTTTGAAGTCAAAGAAATCAAATCATAAAGAGCAGGGGTTTGAGAGATAAAAAAATCAAGCCATCTCTTTTGGTTACCTTAATTTCATGTATTTCTATTTCACCTAATTGCACCTATTTCTCAGTTCTATACAGAAATAAAACCATACTTCAGTTAAAAACAACAACAAAAATAATAGTTGAAAAAACACTGAACTTACAGTCAGAAGAACTATATTCAAATCCTGACTCTTCTATGCAATCTTGAAAAAGTTACCCCTCTAGGTCTCAGCTTCCCCATCTGTAAAAGATGGGACGATAATACTCTCCTTTCAGAAAGCTGTCATAAAGGTTAAGAGAGATCATATATGTAATGCAACTAGTAAAATATCCATCACATGGCAGATGATCAGCAACTATTCATTTTTTTAAAACACAGATTTTGCTATTCTTCACATGCTGCTTCCACATCTACTGATTTCTTTCAGCACTGTAGCTTAACATTTAATAAAGTTGTACCTTTTCAAGAGGTTACTATCTTTCACTGACTTTTTGACACAATATAAAAGTACTACTACTGTATATGCCTGTCGAACAATTCTATCTGCAAATATGACAATTCAATTCTGCATGACGTTATTAGAAATAATACTACAAACTCCAATCCCAATACTAAGACAGCTTTCAAATTAAATTCTGATCTCATTTCCCAAGTTTCCATTCTGTGTCTATACCATGGAATTACAACAGGAGATAAAATAGACACATTGACCTACACAATGGGGCTTACACACATGAAAACAACTACCACAGAGTGTGATGCAGGAGGAATCTCAAGACCTAATGGAGACACAAAAGATGGATATCCTAACGTATACTTCAGGAAGGGTTCTTGGAAGAAATGATGAGTGAGAATGAGTAGTAATTACCCAAGGAAGAGGCTCAAGGAATCACATATTCTAAGTCCCCAAGATGAGAGACCTCAGTTCTTTCTGGACAGTGAAAATAGCAGGGCTGGCATTCAGAGCACAAAGGCAGAATGAGACAAGAAACAACAAGCCCACATGCACCAAATCATAAGAACTTGGTAACCCACCTCAAGGAATTTGGAGTTTAACCTGATAGCAATGGAAAACAGGTCAACTGTTTTAAATCTGATTAGCTTTTCAGAAAGATCCCTCTAGCTACAATACAAAAGGGAGGGAGAAAACTCTGGGTTTGAAGACCAGTGGGGCTACTGCAGTACTGCTGGTAAGAGAGATGGTGCCTAAATGTATCACAACTTCATTACTATTTCTGGATTTCTCTGTCTAATGGCTGTCTCCCCTACTAGTCTTTAAGCTCCCTAAGAACAAGAACCACATCGATGTATTTACCACCATATGATGTGGATGGAGCATAGTGTCTGCCATATGGGACGTCTTTAATAAATATATGATGAAGGGTAGCAGTGGTGAAAATGGTAATAATAAGATGAATATGAGAGCTATTTTAGATATACAATAGATAGGACTTGGTGTTCAACACACCAAATTGATAAAAACACAACATAGATTTTGATACAGTTTTTTTACACAAAGGTACATTTTAAAGAGAAAACAATTTAAAATGCTAAACGCCCTCTACATAAAGAATAGGCACTATTATTATGATACTGATGCCCAGTGAAGTCATCAATAATTTCAGGTTCTAATATGTGAGATAAATTATTATACACCTAACCAGAATTTACAAATTTAGGTTTTGAGAAGTAAGAAGATACTACAAGGTTTCACAATGGTCTTGAGCAGGACCAGAGTTTAAAGAGACTTAATGGTCCCATAACTATATATCCATCTAAGCAGAGAAGCAGTATGCGAAGACTATTTGAGATAGTATACAGGAAAACCAAATGGGACGCTACTGCAATAAGCCTGGCTGCAGTGATAAGAACCTGGCTAAAATGATGAGAGTTTTGAAAGAAAAAGAAAATATAAGGCATTATAGAAGAACAGTAAATCATTGGGTTTGATGAAATATGTAAGGCGTGAGGCAAGGAAAAGACATGAATGACTATTACTGTTGCAACAAAAATAGAAATGAGGTTTTTCCTCTCCTGATAACCAGGAAAATAAAGGGAACAGTGAACAGGCTAGAGAAGAAACATAAACTGGCATGAGTTAATCAATCCTAGTTTTATTTTAACTGTTACTAATCTGTAGTGTCTATAGTTAGATTTGTCCTTCACAAAACTAACCTGTCACCCCTAATCCTGTGTAATTTAGGTAATTTACACCCTGCACCTGATATTTACTCTTTACTCTCCCTATAAACTCTTGTAGCAAATAACCCCTTGTAGCTGTTTGCATTTCAGAAAGGAGGTCATATGTAGACCGATAACCCAGAGGCTAACGGACCCAATTACCAGGTTGCCTGACTCCAACAATGACTGTTTTGAAATAATGCAAGAAAAAGAATGCAAGACCTTCACCATTTTGATCCTTATCACTCACTTCGGACTTCGAACTCCCCTATAAGAATCCCTGTAATTCCCCAGGAAGCGGGGGGCACAGTTCTTGAGGCACTAGCCTGCTATGCCTTCCCTTTGCCTGGCAAAGAAAATAAAAAGCCTCTCTATTTCTAATCTTCCATTTCTCTGTCTCCGTATTTTTATTCAGCATTGGTGCACAGGGAGCCAGATTTGGCAACATTACTTTCCAAGCAGAGTGATAAGAGAAAGTAAGCAAGCATGGGAGGGGGAGGGAGGAGGGAGAGAGGAAAATAAGAACGTAATGAGGCAACAGAGAAACTGAGGCATAATCTGGTCTCAGAGAAATTAGAGCTCAGGAAATATGTTCACAAAATGGCACCAGAGAACTCAACAAAAATCGTCTCACGTGAACAGGAAAAATCCAATCACCCTTTGCCTGTATCACTGAACCAAGTCATTGCAAAAGTTGATGAAATATGGGTCAACCTCCTGCTGTTTTGCTTTTGTTTTTGATATTTAAGCAGTTGTAAAAGAAAGGCTTTTGTAACTGACCAAAAAAAAAAAAAACTGCCTTCCTAATATAGAAATGGAGAGTAGTATATAGCTCTTTACCATCTTATAGAGATCTATTTGAGTGGATATTTATTTATTCTTTATAAACACAAGTACATAATATTTGAAATTCCAATTTATTACAAGTTTACCCTTCAATGGGGCCCTTCCTCCTTAAAGATAATTTAAAAAACAACAAACAACCCAGGTGTCACTAAAGTGGGAACACGGACTTCTCACTGTTACCAAGAACAGACTGGCTCCAGGGTAAGAGGCAAGGAAGGTGTTGGTGATTGGACTGTGAAACTGTAACATCAGCGCTAACTCCAAGCCTGGGGGAGCCAGAACGGTAAACCTATCCAGCAGCCCCTGGAGCAAACCCCACTTTAAGAGGTTTTGTTCTCAGGTTCTGTGAGCGGCAATCCCCTTAGTGGATTTTTTTTCCCTTAATTTAAATAGGCACAGAAGAGCTTAGTTGCTCACATTTTCCAAATTCAAAGTTGATAGAAAAGAAAATTAAACCCTGTTTCGCAGTTTTATCAAAATCTGCCATAAAAGGGAAAGAAGACTACAAAGTTTTGCCTAAACATAACTACTCACTATGGGAAGGGGCCGCTGAGCCCCTCCTCCCGCCCGCCACATTTAGGTCCTTCAGCAACTCTCTCAAAATTACACTGCAAACTCATCTCAGAGCTCAGAGGCACACACAGACCTCCTGATTCCTAATGAAATAAATACCCTTCCTTATTCTATGTTGTCTGCGTTTACCACAAAATTCCATTTACCAGAAAACTTCATTCTCCAGTCAATCTGGTTAATCAAGATTTTACTAAAACACATTACTCAAAGGTAAGTAGAACTGTAGTATTTAGGGATGAAATGATCTGATGTCTGGGGTCTGGCATGTGGGAGATGGTGGAGGGGAAGAGGGGGTAAGAGGTATTGGAAGGGATGAAGATGAAACAGGAACATAAGTGTGATGGGTGGTACGCATCCAGATGCACCTCGGGAATAAAGGACTTATTACCCCAGCCGCTGAGAGCACTGGGCTGTCAGCCCCCACTAACGACTGCCCCAGCCAAAGGGAGACATCTTGCCGCCTTCCAGTAGGACAGCCCACATCCAACAACTGATCAATCCAGGGATAAACAGTAAAGGCCAGGCCCCCTCATATCAGTTCAGTATAGTTCTGAAGGGTCATTCCATCTTTGGAACTACCCCCAGGCTCAACTGAGATTCCTTCCGCTGAGACTCATTACAGCTCAACTTCTCCCTCTGGCCAAACCTGCTTCCCTTCCCCAGGTGTCGGGACTAAAAGCACTCCCTTATAAACCTGAGTGCTAATCTCCATCTCAGAATCTGCTTGCCAGGGAACCCAAACTGTAAAAATAAACGTTGAAGTTCCTTTTAGTACAAGAGTATTCATTACATTGTTCTTACTGTTTTTATGTGCTTGAAAATTTCTCTAATTGCTAATGGGTACATGGAAAGAACTTTAGTGTCCAAAAATCAGGGATTAAATAAATTATTAGAGTCTTACAATGGAACACTGCAGCATGAGATATGAAATAATCTCCAAAATATATAGTGGGATGAAAAAGTGCAGTACAGTGTATAAAATACATTCCCATTTTAGGTTCTAAAAGGGGTATATATATGTATCTACACACATCTGTAATACACACACACACAAACGTTTAGAATAATTCTGTAATTATACCAAATTAAAAAAAAAAAAACAGTAATGAAAACTACCTCTGAAAAGGAAGAGTAAGAGAAGTAAGAGTCTGGATTGTGTGGGAATCCTGACTCTCAAGATAAATCCTTTGGCCTTAAGGGGTTTTTTAACCCGGGCTTTGTGTATTTCACTGTATTCCAAAAGACAGTTTAATAAACAAATTAATTAAATGGCCCACGGGACTTCTCTGGCGGTCCAGCAGTTAGGACGCCGCACTTCCACTGCAAGGGGCCCAGGCTCGATCCCTGGTAGGGGAACCAAGATCCCACAAGATGTGCAGGGCCAAAATAAATAAACAAATAAAATAAAATCCATGGCTGTGATTCACCAGGTTCTTTTATTTTAAAGATGCACATACACACACAACATGGAGTTTTCAAAAAAGCCTATAACTTTAACAAGTATTTGTCTTTAGCCTATAACTAGCTCCTCTCTGCTGTGAGTGCCCTGTCCCAAAACCTGTGATTCACTGCTCCTGCAACCACGTTTTCACAAGATTTTCTACACACTGGTGCAGAACACTCGTCACTTTGTGTGTAGTTATTTGTTTACAAATGCATCCATTCCACTAAAATCTGTT